GATGCCCGAGCAGGCTATCAAAAATATCACCCAGGCTGGAACGCACCAGGCTCTCTGGTGTGATCACGCGTTTTTGCACTAAAGTCGCAGATCGCTATTAGCAGAAATGATCCCTACGCTGTAGCCTAACACTTGGGCTCATGTTGGCCGTGCTTTGGCCCCTTTCGGCATGCAGAAGGAAGGGCGTGAGTAGGGATGGAGGTTGTGCATTACAGAGCCACACGGACATCCAGGTGCGTGATTACCGGTTTTTTGCATGAAGTCCGGTCGTTTTTTCGGTGAATGCTCGCTTTGTGAAAAAATGACAAATGCAAATTTTCTGAAAATATGCAATTTCCAGTTCACCAAAAAGTGGAATTATTGCTCGAAACCTTGCTTATCAAAAAGTACACATTCATTTACATACAAGATTGCGGCTAAGGTCCGAGCTGCGAACGAATTTTTGAAAATATGCAAATTTTCAGTGCATTGAAAAATTGAAAGTATTGCTCAAACGGTCGTTTTTTAAAAATCCATGTTCACTTGCATATACAACTGCGGTTCAGGTCCGAGTTGCTAACGATTTTTGGGTTCAGGAGCTGCTTGAGTCTGTGGTTGGGGAGCTAGAGAGCTGAGTTTAAAATTTTTATCCCGCATGCGCATAGAGAATACCCCTGCAACGTTTCAGCTTTCTACGTTGCTTGGTTCGCGAGATCGTTTCCCGCCAACATATTTCTTTGAGGGTCCCGTACGCGGGGTTTAGGCGCGTATGGGGAAAGATCTTGAAACGGGAGGATGACATACAGGGTAGGAACATATATCCAAAGTTTCAGCCTCCTAGCTTTCCTGGTTGCTGAGATGAAAGTGGGTGACAAAATGCACTCGCTTTCCGAAAACACACACACATGCATGCACACACATACATGCACACACATATGCGCACATACACGCATACACACACACGTACGCATAGACGCACATACACAGATGCACATAAACACATACACAAGCACACGCACATACACACAAGTACAGACACATACACACGGATACACACATGCACACACATACACATGCATACACGCACACATAAACAGACACGTACATACACACATGCACACACATACACATGCACACACGCACACATAAACAGACACGTACATACACACACGCACATAAACATATGCATACGTGCAAACATAGATACATACATGCATACATACATAAATATATATTACACATAAACTTATACACATACTTGCAGATACAATTATAAGCAGAAATGCGTATTTGTTTAAATACGTATATGCTAAATTAGGCGAAATTTGCCTTGCTAGCTGCTTTATTGTTACGCGCAATTCGTCATAGTTACAACGCGTCGATGAAACCAAACATTTACTATGGCTGGCTGGAAATCGCAACATCATCCGTATGATTTCCAAACGAACGAATCGAGACGAGGTTTGTAAAGATTAC